TTTTATTATATTATATATTATTATATTTATTATTAATGTTAATTTGTTTGAATAAAATTTATTATTTTTTTTAAAAATTAAATAAAAATAACTTTGGATAAATTTATTTTAATATATGCATGTGCATTATTTTTTTATATATTGTGCAAGCCAATCAACAAATTTAAAATAACAAAAAAAAAAACCAAATTTTTAACTTTTTTTCGCATTAAATTTTGATATAAAAAATGAGTGGGAAAACTTGACCGGTTTTTGCTATATCAATATTTTTTTAAAAAAAAAATATTATTTCCATAACAATCCAAATTTTTAAAAAAAAAAATTTTAAAAAAAAAAAAAAACGAAATTTTTTTTAATTTTTTTTTTAAAAATTAAAATTTTTTTTATAATCATACACAATATTTCATTATTTAATAATATTTAATAATATTTTTATTTCTATCATAGTTCAAAACTTTTTTTTTTTTTTTCTAAAAGTTTTTTTTCGCTTCTTTATTAACAAATTTATAAAATAAATAATTTTTATAAATTTGTAAATAATAAAAAAAAAAAAATAAAAAAAAAAAAAGAAGGTTTATTTTTTTCTTTTAATTTGGGGGTATTTTTATTTTTTAATTTTTATTAATTTCTATTACAATGAACGAAAAGGTTCAATTAAACGAATATTTAAACAAGAGGAAATTACCTTATGCAACGTATAAAACTGAAACAAGAGGTTCAGAACACAAAAAAGACTTTAGAGTAAGTATTTTAAATATTATTAAATTTATAGTGCTGTATTATTTGTATATTAATTTTTTTTTATTAAAAGTCAATTTTAACAGTAAATGGTAGAGATATTTCATCATCATGGAAAAAAACAAAAAAAGATTCTGAAAAAGAATGTGCTAAAAATGTGTTAGAGTATTTATTTTCAATTGAGGGTCAACCTATAGATATTACCCAATTGCCTAAAATATCACCCTCGGGAACTCCTTTGGTAACAGAACAAACCAAAATAGGAGATTCAGCACCACAAACATTTGGAATAGCTTCTATACCAACAGCATCAAACGCATCAATACCGAATTTACCGACAACAGCAACCACGACTTCAACAACATTCGAACCAACAAAACAAATTTATATAGCCAGTCATCATAACCCATTAGATTTCTTTTCACTTTTTAAAAAACATAATTATCCAACACCTCACCATCAAAATCCAATAATTAAGAATGTAGAAAATGAAATTATGATTCTCCGATTACATAATACTATAATATCATTAACCGACAAAATCAATAGAATTGAAACCAGCTATCAAGGACAGATAAAGCATTTAGTAGATTCACAAAATAGAATAGTTACAAGTTTTAATAAATTAAAAAAGAAAATAAAAGAAAGTAAAGTGGAAACGATCCCAGATTTAAAAGATTTTATGGAAAATATTCAAACTATTGCAAACGAAATAGCCATCAAAGAGGAAAAGGTTTTATTGGACCATATCGAAGCAATGACAGGAAAAGAAAACAATGTTAAAAAAAATGAAATCGATGCTATAAATCATCACAAAAATGAAACAAAATTAAATATTAGCAAAGATAAATTCAACCAAATGAAAACTTTAAAAATTTCAATCAATGATCTTATTAAAGAAAATTTAATTGATAAAGAAAAACTCGAAAAATATATCGAAAAAAAAGAACTTGAAAAAGTACAAAAAGGTCATCAAGATCAACAATCCAATTCAAACAAAAAAAAAAGAACAAGAAAAGAAAATAATGAAGATATTCAAGGTCCTAATAAAGTTTTAAATACAACCTCTTTAAATTTTTCATCACCATAAACAATAAATAATAACTTTAACTGTAAAATAATGATTTAAATAAAAACTATATAGTATGTTATATTTAAATATATTAAAACATATTTATATATTTTAAAAAAAGATTTTCTTGGGTTTTTATTTAAATTTTTACAATAATATTATATAAAGTTTTTATTTTTTTATTTAGTTTATAATTATTAAATTTAAAAAGTAATGGTATCGAGCATAACAGTTAATACTCTTAAGACATTATTTGCCATCAAAGTGTGAACATCTGAAATTAAATGTCTTTTTGGATCTAATTTACCAACTGCAGAAACTTCTTTCTTTTCTGGTTCAATTTTATCTTCATCTTGAATTGATTTTTGATATTGTTTAGTTAATTCTAATAAACTCTATAAAAAAAAAAATAATTAATATTAGTAAAAAGTAAATATTATAATTATTAATAATACAAACATTAATTTGTTTTTCATTATTTTGTTCATGGGTATCAAATTTATCAACAATTAAACCTTCAGTCCATTTCTTTTTGTGAAGATTGAGTAACATTTTTTGTTCAAGTTCATTTTTACGATAATTGATAGCAATTGAATAGTAGTTTCTATTGAGACCATGGATTAAAGCTTGAATTGATGGATCTTGTAAATGACCAAGATTTGATGTGATTTGTCTTGGTTCGGCAGTTGGTGAGGTTTTAATAGTTCTAAATGCATCAATAACAACTTTACCACGAACTGATTGTAATGGATCTACTACAACTGCAACTGCTCTAGCTTGTAATTGTTCAAAACTCTATACAAAAAAAATATTAATACCTATACCTCTTACAATAAAATAACTGGTTTTTAAAAGTTACATACTTGTTGAGTGTTAACATCAACACTTGATAACCAACAACCAAAACCTGGATGACTGTGATACCAACCAATAACAATTTCATTTCTACCAGTTTGTTTTAACATATCAAGCATTTTAGTTTGGAAAACTGGATCAATGGCTTCAACACTAACTGATGTACCACTTTGTGGCATAGCAAATACATCAATAACTCTAATTGTATATTCATCAATAAGTTCACCTAACATTAAACCCATAACTTCTAATGGTACACCTGCTCTAGCTATAATTATATATATATATATAAAAAAAAAATAAAAAAAATAAATAAAAAAAAAAAATAAAAAATAATTAGCAAAATTAAAATATTTATAAATTAAAAAAGATTTCCATTATTATTTAATTTGTATATTATGAAAATTTACCATGTTGCAACATTTTTAATAAAGCTAATGATGAAATATGAATAGTTTCAGCTGTATCTGGAAGTGGTGTAGCATCTGTTATCTTTTCACCTAAACCTTCACGGCCTAATAATGACATTAATGAACGATTCATTTTATATATTTATATTATGTGTTTACTAATTAAATTATTATTTTAATATTATTATTATTATTATTGATTTTGATATTAATTATTTTATTAATGAAAAAAAAAAAATTAATATGATATTAAAAATTTAGTATTAAAATAATATTTTGTGATGTTCACACAATATTAATTAATGATATACATACATGAATAAAAGAAAAAAAAGAAAGAAAAAAAATATATTACGATATAATTACAAGTTTATTAAAAGAATATTCTATTTAAATACTGTATATGATGGTTTTTATATTTGAATAATTAATGATTAACAGGAATTTTTTATGAAAGAGTGAAGCTCTCTTGCGCAAAATTAAAAAAATAAAATTAAAAAAAAAAAAAAAAAAAATTAAAAAAATTAAAAAAAAAATTAAAAAAAAAATTTATTTATTTTTAATTTATAAATTAAAAAAAAAAAAAAAAAAAAAAAAAAAAAAAAAAATTATATTCTTTGCGTTTTTTTTTTTTTTTAATTTTATTTTTATCATAATATATATAATAATTTAAAAGATGGAAAAAATTCAAGATATTATTCATGAATTAAAAAATGCAAATAATGAAGATGATATTATAGATTTATGTTTTTCAATTATATCTATAATTTCAGAAAATGTTAATAATTATAGATTATTAATTAAAGATGAAATGTTAACATTTCTAAAGACTGGACTCAGTGACCAAGTTAATCCAGAAGTTACCACAACTACAATCAGGTTATTGCAGTTGCCATTAAAAGTAGAACCAAAAGAAACATTAGAGTTTATTTTTAAAAATGGAATATTAGAGGATTTGCTAAACAATTTAAAAGTTTCAAGTATTGGTGTCTCACAAGCTGCTAAAGAAATGTTCAATAAAATTATATCACTACATCAACATAACGACTTTATTATATTCAGCGACTGGTTTAAAAATAAATATAATGATTTACTTAACGAATATAGCGGCAAAGAAGTCAATGGTCAAGATAAAATCATTCTTTTCAGAATTATTGATATTGGTTCAAATCTTTTAAGCTTCAAGCAAATTGAAGGATCTTTTAATATACAAAGCGAGTCACCAGAGGCATTGAAACTATATACCGACAAATTATTCGAAAAATACAAGGAGCCATTCATTAGCAGAATAATCAAAATATTTGACGATGCTGTAGAAAACGACGATTTTATGACCCAGATGAATATAATCAAATCCATTGAAGAAATATGTAAATTTAGTAATGGTATTGAAACTCTTTATTCCAAAGGATTCTTCAAATCAATTTCTGATTTATTAGAAAAGAGTATCGATTCCAAATATCAGGATAAATTATTGGGAAGTTCACCACTACTAAACAAATCAATATCATTTGTTGCCAATGTGTCAAGTAAAGGAAATGACCATATCACCGTTCTATTCAAAGATTTTAACTACCTCAATATATTTAGATACCATTTAGATCATTGTGAAGAATTCCTTTCAAAGAAATTAAAAATGGTTATTATTGGCTCCATTGGTATCATTGGCATGCATGTTAAAGGTTTGGATTTAATCAATAGAGATAGAGAGCTAATGAGAACATATGCAGAGTTTCTAGCATCTGGTGACCAAGAAACTATCGTCACTATTTACAATTCATTTGCAATCATGTTAAAATCAAAAGAAAAGATTTATACTGTCAGCGATAAAATTTATCAAGTTTACAGCTCCATACCATCAGATTTACTCTTGAGTAAACTCTCAAAGAATTATCAATCACCAATCGAAGATGTAAAAAATGCAA